TACCATCCGTGGGATTATTCCTGAACGCCTCTAAGGCCGTATTCTCTCTAGTCAAAGGTGGTAATGATATCTCTAGAAGTATCGTGAGTCAAAAGGCTCAAAACAATGTGACACACTTACTAGGCGGCCAGTCCTCGCGGGCCGGTCGTCGCACGAGCCCGGTTTGCCGTACGGCGCCTCTGCCCGTCGTCGGGATCTCACCGCTTACGACTGCACGGTGTCTAATACGGTCGAACATGAGTTTCACGAGTTCGATGTCGAGACTCGGAATCGACCTTTTCCAAAGAGATCACAAATGTAGTACCTCCCGCTTTCCCAGTGTCACTACAAAGCTTTAAAGCCAAAACAGAAAAATCTCCCTAGACTCTCCGACTTGCGCGCCTCCGCGCAACCATCTTCATTCTTCAAAGCCGAACCGTAACTGATTTTTGGGTATCTCTATAAAGATAAACGGGAAAGAGGGACTGATCTCTTCGGAAGAGGCGCTTATACAATCATGATTGAACTTTACTTAGGTAAGTTTGTTTAATCATTCATTGTATTTTGCGCCTCTTCCTCGAGATCACAGATGTAGTTGTTTAAAGTTAGTTACGTTCGATGTGTCATAAAAAGAAAAACAAAAATCGGTTTTTTTATATATGGCCTAAGCTTGTCTATACATATTGAAGACTGCTTCGGCAAATTAGGCGTCTTCCGAAACTAACTCCCGTTCGTAAAAACGCGCAAAGGTTTCAGAGTCCTTTGTCCAACCCGCCGTTCTTCTTATTACGTCCACACTAACGCCATGACGCTTTGCGGCTAAAGTTGCCGCGTGTTGCGTGCGGTAAGCCGTAAACTTTTCAACATTTATGCCGCTCTGGGACAAGACTGTCTTGAGCCATCGACTGAGTGTTTGCGTGGACACCGCCTTATATGGTTTTCTAAACGATATAAAAAACTGTACAATAGACCCACGCAAATCTTGAGTTCTACTCAGGTACGATTGCAAAGCTGTATTCACGCAAATGGACCTATCCTGAACGAAAAACGGTAGTCTCAGCACTGGCTGTTTTCTATTTGGGCAGGACGTTTTAATCTTATCAAGAATTTTTATTTCTAAATGATTTCCGTTCATTTGACGAATATTCCTAATATCTATCAGGCACAAGGTCTGTATGCGATGTACTGTAGCTAGGGCTAACAAGGCTACCAGCTTTTGAGAAAGCCGTTTTAAACTTATATCTTCATTTGAATATACTCTTGACAAATAACTTAAAACTACTTTGGGATCCCAGGTTAAATTATATCTGGGATTTGCTGGTCTCAGTTTAGACACTCCTCGAAAGAATCGCTGGACTAAATGGTTTTGCCTTAATTCAGGTCCCAAAATTAACGCTACCGCCGACCTGTAGCCGTTTAATGAACTGTAGGATGCTTTTTTCTTAAACTCAGTAGTAAGAAACGTTAATACGTCCGCCGGTGTTCCGGAAAAAAGGTCGATTCCGTTATCGTTGCAAAAATTCCACCATTTTCTTAGTCCACAATCATATTGCCGACACGACGACTCCGATAGGGATGCGATTACTATATCCACTGATCCCAATGGAACTGCTTTCCGGATGAAGGCTTCCCGGACAACTTCGCAGCAATCAGCGTAAGCTGGTGCCATAACAGGTGCGTCTCTCCGCTAGAGGAACGAATCAAATTAATATTTGGTCAAAAAATGATGGGTTCAGCATCAATTAATGATAAAAGAAGTGGAAACCATGACTGGGCTTCCCAGTACGGAACTACCACTATGTCACTCGAACCCTCGCGTTCGATTTTTTGCAACACTCTCAAAATAACCGAGAAGGGAGGAAACGCGTAAAAAAACAACTTTTTTCATCTTAATGTGACAGCATTGATGTCTATCGCATCGGGGTCTTTTTTCCAAGAAATACAGTGATCGCATTTTGCGTTCGCCCTAGAAGCAAATAAATCGATCTCCGGTCGGTTAAAAACTTTGACGATATTTTGGAATGCGTTGTCTGAAAGCTCGAATTCCGTTTCCGATTGTAACTTTCGCGATTCGTTATCTGCTTCAACATTGTCACAAGAACGAATATATGACGCTGAGATCCAAATGTCTCTCTGTTCACACCACAGCCATATCTCTCTGGCAAAAAAGCTAATAAGGCTTTCGAAGTGGCTGTCTCTCATACGGTTAATGTATGCGATCGCTGTCGTACTGTCTATCCGGAATAAAATATTACTGCCTTGTTTGTCATTCGCGAAGCATTTTAGCCCGAAGAATGCTGCCATCAATTTTAATGAATTAATGTGCAAGTTTAAATCATTCGAATTCCAGTGACCATGACCTTCACAAAACATGTCCCAACCCGTACGTGATGCATCAGAAAAAATTTTGAGATTGTACACGGGTTCGTTCATCGGCGCGCTAGCGGTACGAATGTGCAATTTTCACCATGTAAAATCCTCGTTTAAAACGCTCGAAAAAATCATAATTGCATCAAAATTATTATTATTTTCTTCCAACGCTCGTGTGCGTTCCGTTTCAAAGCGACGTACATGGATCATCCCGTAAAGCAGGACAACGCGAAACTAGTGTTGTCCACGAACGCTGCAAATTCCTTCATCGTGCAGCTCGACATTTTACTACATTTATTTAAAAATGCTATGGTTCGTTGCATTTTGTCTTCCGGTAACTCTATCGACATCTTTTGCGAGTCAAAAATAAGACCTAAAAATTTACAACGCTGAGTGGGCACGGTAAGACTCTTATCGTCATTAATGATAAAGCCAAGCTCCTGTATGAGCTTTTTAGTTTCGCGAATATTTTCCGCGCATGTTGAAATTTACCGTGAGATTTACCCATGAGCAGCATGTCATCTAAATAGAAAACCGACAGAAAACCGTGTTTTCTTAAATACGCTGCAATCGGTTTTAAGATTTTTGTGAACACATACGGATTCACGTTTAGCTCGAAAGGTAAACAGGTGAATTCATACAATTCTCCCTTGTATGTAAACCTTAAAAATTTTCTGTCGGTTTTTGCTATTGGTACAAGATATGCGTCTTTTAAATCTAAGGTGGCCATAAAGAAGTTCTTCTTAACTAATCTTCTTGCTACCTTCCAATCTTCTATTTTAAAATGTTCTGTCATAATAAACTCGTTCAATTTTTTAAGATTTAGTATTAATCTCAAAGTTCCATCCGGCTTCGATACTAAAAAAATGTTTGATATAAACTGATCCTTTAACGAAACACATTTTTTGATCGCCCCCTTATTAAGTTGTTTATCTATCTGATCTTTGATCGCCGCGCTCTCGGAACTGAACCATGCAGTCGCTGGGTATACATTCCTGTCTGACAATGAGTTTTGATATAAAAGGGATTTCAAAACTCCTGCTTTAAAAAAATGGATTTAAAATCTGATCCGCAATGTTGGATCCCTCACAGATTTGTAGAACTCTATATAATTACTTGTTTTTACAAATAATATTCTTGAAAATATTTAACATGCTTCAGTTAAGTGAACAAGTTATACAGCAAATAATATACGCATGTATATACTTACAATTGTCTTTGAATCCTCAGAGGTGCTTGCGCAAGCCATTTGGAGATGGAATCTGCAAATTCGGCATCCGTAATGTGGCTATACTGCGTATGTAATCGAACTGCTTCTATAAAATAAGAATATTATTCAAATTTCTAAAAATATTACCAGATATACAAAGCGTTCTAGGTTTCATGTATTTCCTTTCATCTGCGTATTCTTTGACTAATATACTTAAACTTGGTTCAAGATTAAGATTCCGTAGATCAAAAGAAATTTGTGGATCTGAGATGTCCAGCATAACTTTTACAAAAGTATTAAACTTAATAAAAATAAACGTACGCATAATTATTTTTGGAAGATTCAAATCCTTAAAGACTAATTTTCCTTTCATCCCACCCCAACTGTATTTCTTAGC